CTATCAACTGCCTAAATATTGTACTTCTGCCTGATTCACTAAATCTATTTTCTATTGTTGCAACTTTTCACATGCAGCTTTTACTTCACCGGAGTATTTTCAGCTGATTAAAGGACAGGCTGCCGAAGTTGGCAAATTCTCACATTGTGCTCTGGACAGCAGAAAATTCACATCTCTGAACTGTTGCATCAGTATCACGTAATGTGTTATTTCAGAAGTTCCCTTTCATTAACAGCAGGGATTCTTCATTTTGCAGCTGTTTAACTTGATTGTGTTATTTCCTTTTAAACATTAGTAAAAAGAAAATAATAAAATATTCAATGTTGTTAGCTGTGTTTAGGAATTTCATACTTTTGCATGCTTCACCAATTACAAAATTTGGGCTGGTTTCACCAATTCCTCCAGGAGTATAGTCCGTGAAGGAACAGTTCCAATAACAGAGATGTGCTCTGATTTGTTTTATTTAGCACACTTCATACCTCATTTCGATTCTCTCTCAGAATCTTTCCACTGTTATTGTTTTTACTGTACAGGGCAAGTAATTTACATAAAATAAAGATTGAGGTGACATATGCTGTTCATCGCTCACTCTCGGCCTGTTTGCCATAGTTTTATTACGTATAAATTCTGGGTTGCAATGCATTAGGAAGACAGCTTCACTTTCAGAGGCTGAATTTAATCAGAGATCTGGAAGAATCAGAGCTGATAGCTACACTAAAATCATATTTGCACAATCTCAACAACACATTCATAACAGATAAACACAAAATAAAGAGTAGTGGAGAAATGATCAAATATGTAGGGCATTTCACAGCAAAGTTGAATCTGGTATTCACTGAAAGTGTACAGTGAGATAAACTACTAACAAACATGTTAAAACATTTATGGAATTCCACAATTATCTATTGTAACAAAGTATAAGTGTCAGTTCAGCTTACTGATAGCACTCTTGCCTCTGAACCAGCAGATTGTGGGTTCAATCTACTGTAGGGCTTGAGCACATTATCAAGTCTGACACTGCAATGCAGCACTGAGGCAATGCTGGCTGATGAGATGCTAAATGAAGATTCTGTCTCACTGTCCAGGTTGAAGTAAGATTTTCCACAACATCTCTTCAAGGAGCAAGGAGCTCCCCAACTGCAAATAAGAGAAAAATTTAATTCTTCAATTAGTCATCCCATTTTTATTGTTTCTGTGACCTTGTTTTGCAAACTTCCTGAAGCATTTGTCCAAAAAGATTGACTTTATCTCATGAACAATATTTTGTCAGAGAAGTACTGATGTTATTTATTTGGAACAGCATAATGTTGTATAAGGTGATGGTTTTGAAAGGGTTAAAATTGTAAACTGCATTAATCTCCACCCATTCTGATGATTTCATCCAGTTTTGAATGGTAGTATCAGGAGAATGGTTCTGATAGACTTGATAACTGTACTGAAGTAGCTAATGTGACATGTAACTAATTGCTATCATGTAGTAAACAACATCTTAAGAGAAAAGCCTCTTCTTGTTAAGACTCACTAGGGATTGTTCCACTGCTACTGTAAACCAATTAGGCCCTCAATCCAGTCAAGCAAAGAGGAATAGTTGCAGAATCCTTCTCCCTACAAACATCACAGTTATTTTTTTTAAAAACAGGTTCATTCCTTCAAAGTGTTGACATCAGAATTTCACACAGTGTGGTATGATGATTACTCATATTGCATAGTCTAGTTTCAAGAAGTTGCATTTAATAATACTCCTTCTGACTTTAGACTTCACTTCCAGTGGTCTCTCCTCTGATATCACATTCCTTTGCCATATAACACATCACCCATGAATTTGCTTTGTTTTCTCTTTTCAAATGCTTCTTGGTCTTAGCGGGCTTAACATAGCTTAAAATTAAAATGGAAAGAGAAACAGTATTATTTATTTATTGACAGGATTTTATCATGCTTCCTTTCGATGTGTAGAACTGAAACTTGCAAACTTGTGTACTTTAAAGTTTTGCAGAGCTGGATGTGGGTCAGATAGCATTTACATAGAAACAAAAAGATTAAATTGGTTGGATCACTTCTTCTTCTGAAAGTTATCTCCTTTTTCCAATCTGCCCTGTTCTAAAGATGCTGTCTCTTCCCCAGACATAGCTCCAAAGTATCAGCTACATGCACAAGTCCAAAAACTCAATTAGTGACCTCTGTGTCCACTGGCATAGTGCAACAGGAATTACTCTCTTCTTATCCAACACACACTGTCATGCCTCACTGGAGTGTGCACAAGAAATCAAGCCCTGCTATTTTCAGAGTCATTATAAAAGTTAAAGACTTTATAAAATTATGCACAATTCCCCAACTTACCTGGCTTTATCGATGCAGGACGACAAAACATGTACCAGGTTTTTGTAGACAACAAGAATGACTATTTATTACAAATTAATAGGTTTTAATTACAGATAAACAATTATGACTCTTTGGCATATAATGCTACTAGTTTAAACTCTAACTCCCTTATAAAATTCTCCTTACAGACACATACGGAAAAACAAAACACCAATGTTATGGGTGTAGGGGAAAACTGGGAAGGCATTTCAGTATCCCTGTTTCCAGGGCTTTTTGAAATCATCCTTTTGGCTTGCGAGGACTTGTTGCTCCTCAATCTCTCTTCTCCCAGGTATTTTCACTTACTTGGAGGAGGCACAGAGTGACTGATTCACAACTTATAAAGTTTCTGACTTTTTGGTTGAAAGGAACAGCTAACAGCAACTGGCGAGGGAAAATAAACTGGCTTTCTTCAGGCTTTAGGTCATCAACTGGTCTTAACTTCAAAGACCAATCAGCTATTTGTTGCCAGTTGAATCTTATCTTGTACACAGTTATGCCTGTTCATCTGAAACTAAACCTTCTTATTGGTTAAATAAACAAATGTAAACAGCAATTACAAGAAGTGCTGGTAGCTTCCAAAAAGTGCAGCAATCCTTGATGGTTAGGCTAGTCCTTTCCCTATTTCAGTCCATAATCAAATATACACAAAAAGAAGATGGTATAGTCTTTAAATACACACACACACACACACACATTACACTCAAATGGCCATCCTAGCTTGGTTTATTTATCAGGTACTGAGCATTGTTGGTGTGGCTCTGGCTCTGTTCCAGACTGGACTTTGCGTTTACTAAATGATCATTGGGGAGAAATTTCTTTTTGGCTCAACTTTCAACAAATTACTTATTATAAATCAGGTGCCACTTTCAACCCCTTTTCTGTTGGCATTTTCAATTGGAAACATTTTGTCATTATTACAGACACCAGCTCTTAAGTCACCAGAAGTATTTCAGACAAGATAAAACACTTGCTTAATTTAGTAAATAGAAACCAAACTTACTGTGATGAGGTGGCAATCATTTCAGTAACTACCAACAACAATTTTAAAACATAATGGTAGCTCTCTAAAAAAATGAAATTGAACATTAGAATGTAGAAAAATTAACAGACGCATGATGTGACATGACGACTACATTTGTTGTATATTAGCAGTGTGATGTGATTTATTCTACTCCAAGGATGGTATGCTGAAGCTTGTGTGACCATCAGCAATGTGTACGTATCTAACCTAAACCAGATCTGATAACTCCCAACCAACTGATGATAAATTTTGATCTCTGCCCACTTGTACCCTGAATAGGATAATACATTTAGTATTATTCAGATATGAATTAATAATGTTGTATAGGACATATTCTGTTACGCACTGTCATGTATCATCTCCTTCTACAAGTTAAAGCAGCAGTTTCTGAATTTCAGGTTGAGATCCAATTTCACAGCAGGTTGGCTTTGACTTGTGCCACTTTGGTATTTTGAATGCAGTTGTATTCTGAGCTTAAAAGCTCAACTGCAAAGGCTTTGAAAGATCCCAAAATGGGCTCATTCACAGAATGCAATCACATGTAACTGAAGACAAATCGGGGCAAATTATTCAATTCATTTCCCCTCACATTTTTATTTTGTATTTTGTTTCAGCATTACTAAACTGTACACCAGTGACTGCAGTTTGGCACATTTCTTTCTGGAAATTACAGATGCAAAGTGTGCTGAACACTAGCAATTGTGGCAGCCTTTTCCTGCTTTTATTTCAGGTGTGGTTTCTCTTGCAGCTGCCTCAAGTTAAACAAAAGGCTCCAACCTTTTCCAGGAAGGGTTCTAACCTTTTTCAAAAGGGTATACGTTACTGTTGGAAACAGCTACTTGCCAGATTGCTGAGTTATAGACCATATTATAGTTATAGACCCAACCCTGTGCGGTGCTAAAAGGGCAAAACTCAGAGCACTGCTTAGTTTGCGGCACTACAGAACCAGAGAAACAGATGAGTTTGCTATTTTTGAGATTGTCAGCATTTCTTCACCAATCATCCTGTCATACTTTGAGATGCCTGTATGTTAGTTGCAAGGCCGGTCATGGAGATATTGCTTTGACATGTCACTATCAAAAGTGGCCAACAAGGTATTAGACCTCAGTTTCTTGCAGCTCCCACTGGGATTGATGGTTGTCACTTTCTTTCACTTTGAAGTTGCACATGTGACAACATTTATTCTAAGCATGCGTTTACAAAATGAAGCACATCTAGGAAAATAATCATAAGTCTAATTCATTCCATCAAAATCCTCGAAATTACCACTGACCAGCAACTTATATGGACTCACCACATAAGTACTGTGGAACAACAGCAAGTCAGAGGCTGGTTAATTTAGCTGTCAGTACCGCGCACAGGAGAAAACAATACTAGTGGGAACATTGGTTCCAAGTCACCTACCATTCTGATTTGGAAATACATCAGTGTTCTTTCATTGTTGCTGTGACAAAAATCCTTCACCACAGGGAAAGAAGCAGTTCAAGATGCCTTTTCACCATGACCTTCTCAAGAGCAATTAATGATGGGGAATAAATGCATGCCCTACCAGTGACATGACATCTATGAATGAATAAAAAAGAACATGTGCTAGTTAGTGATGGATCCATGAGCTTACCTGAGCATGTGATACAGGAAATGCCCTCTGCACTGAGATTATACTTGAGATCGAGGAGGACCTGAATGTTGGTATCAGGGCTGAAGAGCAGTGGTGTTCTGCTGGCTGCTCGTAGTTGGGTTGCAAATCCTATGGACATCACCAGGGTAATGATATAAAGGCCTGAAAGAACGAAACATAGAACAAAACAAAGAAATGTGCCTTTTTGATTAGAAAATAATAGGTCTCTTTTCTAACAAGTCCTCTGTGTAAGAGGGTAAATTTACTGATGCTACAAAACTGGTGTGCAGCTGTGTTCGAGCACAGCTTGGGGAAAATTGATGTGGTGTCATTACTTCATCTCCAAAGTGCACTGGCTTGGTAGCATTGGTAAAATTAGCATAATGTATATTAAAAGAAATGTGAAATTACACATTTTATTATAGTGTTAGTGTCTTCACAATGGATGAACAAAATTACAATCTTAAAATTTGAGCCAGGATATTCAGGAGTGAAATCAAGAAGCACTTTTAAGCCCCAAAACCCCAAAGAATTTTCGCTCCCAATAAGCTGTTGAAGCCAACCAACAGAAATTTTAAGACGAGTATCAATTGGTTTTCATTTGGTAAGAATATTGAGCAATATGGAACAAAGGCAGGTAAGGGGATTGAAGCACAAATCAGACATGATTAAATAGAATAGTAGAACAAGTGCAAAGGACTGAACAACCTAATTCTATTCCTACGTTTCTATTAATATTAAACCAATAAATAGCATATTTCACAAGAATTAGACACAACATGGAATTTAGCTAAGTATATTTTTAATGTTTACATGATAATGATAAAAGCATAGAATTGATTTTAAACTCTGATTTGAGGACCTATAAGTTTAAATTGAGAAATAATCAAATATTCTTTGGTGTCTGACAGGCAAAGAGCATACGTTTACACTATATTTTCATCAGTCCATGTGCAAGGTTCGTGCATGAGGGAAAGAGCAGCATCATCTCATTGTCTTCTGAGAATGATCACTTTCATACTTTTCTAGACAAACCTCATCACTATGAATTTGGAAAAGAGGTAGTTGTTACAAAGTTATGTGGAGTAATCATGAATTGGAAGCCAGGAAGCTAGAATTTGTATGTTAAAAAATGATAAGGGAGAAGAGTACATGGTTCCTTTAAGAGGTAAAGTGCTTTTCTAAGCTTAGAGATTTGTACAGAAAAAAAATGTGTCTGTAAGTAGCTGAAGATGTACAACCAGTTCTGAAATTGAAACATGTATCAATTGGCTGTGTGACTGGAAACCTTGGGCTTGTTTTGATGTTTTGGCAACTAGCTGGAATCAGCCGATTCATTTAAATCTGATGGTTTTGACAACATCAGACCAATGCTATTGTAAGAAAATTGATATATCATCCAAGGTACACATGGAGAGGGTTTTTGAAAATTGGTGTGCGAGCAAACCGCCATCTGAGAAATAAGCATCTAGGTCTCACAAGAAATCGCTAAGCTCTCTACGAAAACACCATCTACCCATAAAAGGTACCATGGCACTTCTAGCTAAGAGTCCTCACAGAAGACTTCACAGAGAAAACATCCCTGACAGCTGGATCAGGGGAAGAAAGGTGTTTATGACTTGAGAACAGCAAAAGAAAAGTGTGTAGGCTTTGAGAGACTAAGTTTTAATTTATTTTCTTATTACTTGGGTTTATATAAGTGGGACTTGTGTTTCATGGAACAGCATATCAGTAGAATTTTGTTGAGTTAGGGAATAGTTAGCAGTTAAGGGGCAATTGTTTGGTTTGTTAGTAATTCTGTTAATTTGTTCACTGTTAAGGTTAAATAAATAAATTGTTACTTGTTACTTATAAAGTGAATATCAGGGATTTTCTTTCATTTAACCTCCCCTTCTCCGTAACAGTTTAATGGGTTAAGTGAGATGAGGCGAGCTTCTTTGGGTTTAATTATTAGAAGGGGACCTCTGCTCCCACCATAACAGACTGGGGACTTGTCTTTCAATTTTAATTATCAGAGGGGTTTGACCTTCCCTTCCGTAACAGTGGTAACCATATAAAGTATGGAGGTGATTAGTTGCCAAAGGAGTGCAATCTTCTTGGAAACAGGCCAATTCTCTCCAAAATTCTTAACAATCCTGCAGACCTGTCTGCTGACACTCGAATCCAGTTACCAGATTAACTTTGCAATTTTCCACCACACCTAGCAGGCATCATACCTGTGCTCCAACTCCTGTTGCTATCTGATATCCAAGACCAGCAGTAGGTTTACCAGCACCCATACCCAGCTCCCACCCCATTATTATTCACAGTGGAATGGCAAATTTTTGGATCTAACATTTTCAACCAGTTGTGAAGCATCCAGCAGTTTTGCATGTAGGCCTAGCCAGTCAGCAGTAAATTAATCCATCAGAAAAATTAGCAAGTAGTTGAAATCTTGACATCCATAATGGCTCCTGAAAAAAACTTTCAATTGAGAGGTTTTTAGCCTGTTGAGAACACAATGGAGATAAGCAGTACAAGTGCAAATCGGACTAGTTTCTTCCCCCAGTTGTGCATGTATCATTTAATTGCTTCCAGTCACATTTAAAATCCATCTCATGCGAAAAAGAGAGAAATTATACCCTTCACACCCACAGAAACAGAAGGGAAAGTGACTGATCCAACACTCCCAGTTCCATGAGGGCTGGCAACCTAGTGCTAGTCATGTAGCTCTTTCTTAGATTTGCACTCACTTCAAGTGTGGATTTCCAGCTGGGAAGGTAGGATTAGTGAATTTACCCAAAAGTCACATATCTGAAATGGAATGAAATTCAAAAGAAAAACATAAATCAACTAGCTGTGGAGATGTTGATTCAACTGAAGAATACAGAAATAATAATGGAAGCAATTTCTCTTCCCATTGTGCACAGCTGACATGTGTTAAGCTTCAGTGCATTTATTCTCAGATGATCAAACAGAAATAATAGAAGAAAATTCTCCTAACAAAATCCCATGAACTGAATATTGTAAAGTAGAAATGGGAAAGATGTTGTGGAACTCAAGTTTCAAATTCATCAGCAAATTATCTTTGTATCATATCTCAGATTTCTCTATCTTCTTTCCTCATTCTGCTAAGAAATAAAGACACAGTTTGAGGAACCAAAGCTTTGATAATATATTCCGAACAGTAAGTCATCAATTGTATTAAATGATGAAGACATTTAGCAATTTTCAAAGATGAAAAGTGATTGAGGCAATTATAAGTGATATCAGTGACCTGATCATTGTTGAAAAATCTTTTACAGTGCTATAGCATTTAGTAATTAGCAATTTCTGGCTGTTGCCCCATTTCAGTCCTCATCTGCCCTCCCTTAAGTCCAAAGGGTGCAAATTTAAACAATTCTGGCAGACACTGGATAAGCCATTTACTTCCAGATCTGACTGGATAATACATTGCCCTCTTCTGCAAAAAAAAGCTAACTATTTCAGGATTATTCTGGATAATCCAGGATTATTCTGGAATGCAAAGGGAAAACCCAGTTTATTTTCTCGACTGCAACCTCTCCTTTACTTAAACCTCTTTCCCAATTTTGTCCAGTTTCTCTACAAATGATAACAACGGCTCATGGATTTTTTAGTTACCAAGATTGAAGTCATCCAATCAGTTATGTCTGTCACTTCCCTCTCTTCCCCAACCCACTGGACCATATCTACTTTTAAGATTCTCCCTATGCTTGCCCTGAACATGTTTCTTTCTTTCCCCCTGCCTTCTCTGAGCTCATCCATGGGACCCATTTTCTGCTCTCCTAAACTGCTGATCACTCAGACTCCCTTACGAGTTCTCATGTAAACTTACATAATTAATGGGTTCTCTCTCTTCACGAGTTGTCGCTCTCTGCTTCATATCTGTTGTCTTCACTGCTCTGCTAAAAAAATATGACCCCACTGACTTTGCAAGTGACTACCCCATCTCCAATTTCCTTTCCCTTTCCAAAGTCATTGAGTGTGTAGTCACCTCCCAAACTTGTGCCTAGTTTTTCTGGAACTGCATGTCTGAATTCTCCAATCAGGTGTCTGCCCCTACAACTGTACCAAAACATCTCTTATCAACATCAAAAATGATCCCATGTATTACTGTGGCAAAAACTAACTATCCCATCATGTTTTTCTCAACCTGTGACACACCTGTTCACTTTACTCTCCTCCAACACATCTTCATGGTCATCTAGCTATTTGGTACCTACAATTGCCTGGCTCCATTCTTATTTGTCTAATTGTAGTTAGAAAATCACTATCAATTACCTTTATTCCCACTCAATATCTCTGGTACCACCCAAGCATTTATCCTTGGACTCTTCATATTTGCCATGTAAATATCGCCCCTCAGCAACATCATCCAAAAGCTGTTAATTTCCACATGTATATTGATGCAATTCAGGTCTAGTTCATGCCTAACTAGCTCAACCTTTGTAAGCTATAGAATTACTTATACAACGTCCTGTAACAAATGAGCAGAGATTTCTTCTAATTCAACATTGGGAAGACTGAAGCTACTTCCTTCAATCTGTGCTCCAAACTCTACTTCAGCACCACAGGTTCCATCCTTTTCCATGGCAACTGCCTGAGGATAAGCTTGTCACAATACCAGTGTTATAAATGACTTCAAGATGAGTATTCTACTATAACCATTAAGCCAGCCTATTTGTAATTCATAAAATTGACCATTTCTATTCCTACTCACCTCCACTGCTGAAGAGACCTTCATTTATTGAATCAGAGATAGTAGGAACTGCAGATGCTGGAGAATCCGAGACAACAAGGTGCAGGGCTGGATGAACACAGCAGGCCAAGCAGCA